TAATTAATTCTAATCATAGAAACAGAAAAACCGAATATACTTTACTCTAAGCTGCAAATATCCCTTTCTGATTAATAACTTCCCCATATTATAGTATAGAAATTCCTTAAGCATAGTAATATTCCACATCATTAATTCTTTCCCACATTTTCCTAACCATTCATGTCCTTTTCAAAATTCATTTCTAAGTTGAACTCTTCTTCTTATTCTTATCTCAGCAATCTTTGATCATTTGGGAAAGAAAAAAAAATGGATCTTTTTCAAAAATTCTTTGTGACTGCTATGGCAGCTCTTGTATTTTCTTGCATAATTGTGAAATTTATTTCAATTGCAGTGTCAAATGATGAAAAGGTAGATAAAGAGAAAACTGTTGTGGAGGAAGCCAAGATTACAAAAGGGGCTGTTGTTAAGAGTAGAAAAAGCAAGAAAAGAGTCAAATTTGTTGAAAAAGAAGTTGTTAAAAATGTTGATTATATTGAATTAATGCCATGTAAAGTTGGAGGAGTAGTTGATCAGTCTGAAAATGGTGGAGAAAAGAAAGTAGATTCAGAGGAAGTGTTTGTTGAGGAAAAAAATGAGGATATTTTTAAAAAAGGTGATGAATTTAAGGGAGAAAAAGTTCCTGAAAATGTTGGAGTGATTGAAAATGAGAAGAGAGATAAGGTGGTGTTAGATGAGGATAGTGATGATGATTGGGAAGGAATTGAGAGAAGTGAATTGGAGGAGGAATTTGTTAAAGCTGTAAACTTTGTGGATAGGGGAAAAGGGAAGGAGAATTTAGGGAGTGAATTGATGATGCAATTGTATGGACTCCAGAAAATTGCAATGGAAGGGCCTTGTTATGAGCCTCAACCAATGGCATTGAAAGTCTATGCTCGCGCCAAATGGTATTGACCTTTTACTCTGATAAATATGAGCTTTAGCAAATTGTTTGAACTCTAGTTCAATTGCATAAGTTTTTCAATTGTTTGTTGATTTGCTTGAATGAAAAAAGTAAAATTTGTGAAGCAAGTGCTTGCATTGGTCGAGTGAGGTTTCGACTTTAGAAATCCTTGGATGAATAGAACCTTTTATAGGAGAGAAAAGAGCAATTATATATTACCAAAGGACTGCTGCTAAAAATGGGGATGATAAATCATTATCTCACATATAGTTCTATAGACATTGAGTCTAATCAATCACAATTCGATTCCTTCAACCTATTACCTAGTGTAGTTTTTCCCTTGCATAGTAGCATTTTTTTTAATGAATCTCTTGTGTCCGGGTTACCAAAAGATAGTTTGACTAAAAACTAGTAGATTTGTATAGCCTGAATTTCATAGTGAAAATTAGAGGAACGAGGCAGGAAACTGAGGATGATAAGTAACACGGTTATATCGTAAGAAAATTGTGTTAGAATAAGATGGCTAGAGTAAATAGAATAAGAAGTAAAGGACAGACCTTCAAACTACTTTCAGGGTGTAGTTTGATTGCTAGTTATACAACAGGAATGAAAGCTGCTATCTGTAAGTGATGGAGGACAATAATTCCATTGTGCAAGGAATGCGTGGCAAAGAATGGGAAGCATGAATCCGGAGGTGGCTATGGAGCAGTATATTGAGCTTTTGTCAGACCATGTTCCCGGATGGACGCATCAAAATAAGGTTGTAAATGTTTCCTTAAAGTTCTTTCTTTTGGATAGATTACTCATAGATTTTCATGAAATATTGCTGGAAGAGTGAAATGTTCACTCCTAATTGTCTACCGTGCAGGAGGCTAGTGAAGTAGGGTCTTTGGAAACTAAAATGTCAGGAGATCCAGATTCCATTCCAGATTCTTTTAATGATATACGCAAAGATGAAAGGTAGTTCTAACTCCTTTTTCCTCATTATGTCCTCCGAAATTCTCAAAAGTTCATTTTGTTTCCATCTACCCTTGATTACTTCTCTCACTAGCTTTTGCATGTATCTACAGGACACAGGAAATGAAGCATGCTGCAGAGGGAGTTGATTTTGCTGGAGGTGGAAAGGTGATTGATATTCTTTCATAAATCATCTTAATTCTGTAGTGCTGCTGATTTTTAAAGTGAATTTTCTGCTGAAGTTTTTTAGCTCAGTATGTTCCATGCTGTTAAAACTTGGCCCTCAAACCTGCTGTAGATAGAATATTTTAAGCTTCAAAACTAGTGACAAAATTAAATTTCACATGGGACCTTTTATTGTTATTCTCTTGTTGCATGAAAAGTTTATTTCACATGACTGAACTTTTCTTGGATAATTGCAAGTTCAACTATCCAAATGTTCACTTCTATGATAAGTACAGACTGATCCGTGTGAGAGAAATATTTGCTGTTGTTAAATGCCAGATTCTATGAGATATCTTATCCTTTAAAACAATTTTATTCAGTTAAAAGTTAAATTGCCTTGTTAGACATTGTTTCTTATTTGTTCTTGTTTCTTCAAATGTCTAGCAGACATTCAATTTTCAGTCTTCACTCCGACATCCTTTCAGGAGAATCCTAGTCCAACTTTCTTGAGATTTGTCCTTTTGTTTTTGAGGAACTTTTATCAGGCATGCTTGTTTTACCGTTTGGGGCTTTAATTGCATCTCAAGGAATATCAAAATTACATCAGTGTAGTTGGCTTTTCGGAACAATATGCCTGATCTCATAAGCCACTCAGTGTACAGTAGAAACTGGTGCTATATTTTATGATCTCTGGTTCCTCTCCTTGAGTAGTTATTTACACTTGACTGCTTTCCATCTTCAACTATGGCCTGATATGTGAAGCTTGTTGGAATATATGACAGTTCAAAAGAGTTGCTTCATTTTTCATTTTCCAATTTACATTCAGGCCTGGTAAGTGGAGTTGTTTGAAAATTAAATAACTTAACAAATTGGCTCCTTTTCATCTATAATGGCTTCATTTGTTAATTCTTGATAAATATACGAACTAATGATGTAAACTATCAACAAATCCATCCATTTGTATCTGTTGAATTGCTGATAAGCGAATAATACGAGCACCTGAGAGAAAACATAAGATCCTATTTTTGCTTCTATATCTTTTGGTTGGCTGAGGAAGGAGGATACAGTGTCTAATCTCAATATCTCCTTCGTTGGCTTTCTGGAATAATTCTTCTTTGGCTTTCATCTTTTATACCATTTCTTTTTTCAAATTTTGGATTTTCATAGTTTCCATCAAAATCAGTCTGTAAAGGAAAAGTGGTACTAGATTTTAGGAAAAAAGGAAGAAGAGAGAAAGACCAGAATCTAGAAAACCAATTTACTATCCACCATGATTCGAAAGATAAGTTCATTAGAAAACTAAGTAGGTCTAAAGGATGAGAACAAAATTTCTGTCCAGCAAAATTCAGTTCCCTCTAAAACAGACATAAAGTCTGTTTGGCCAAGCTTCTCAAGAGGCCAAAAGCACTTTTTTCCCCTAAGTTGAGGTGTTTGGTCAAGCTTTTTTTGGGGGAAAAAAAGTATTTTTGGGAAGAAGCAGAAGCAGAAAAGTAGCTTCTTCCCAAAAGCAGAAGCAAAAGCAATTTTAAATTTTCTTCTTACCAAGAATACCCTTAACATAATATAGTATATATCAAAATAACCGTTAAACCTAATACTTAGGATCTTAATGTATAAATATTTCTTATTATTTTTAGGATAGCTTTCTAATATATAGTGACTTTTGGGGGTGAATGCTTTTATATTTGTTGAATGATATATATATTATATTTAACTTATATTAAAAGAATTAAGTATTTTTATATTTTATTTTCATATTTTACTTAAATAAAATGAAAAGATTTAATTATTGCCTGTAATAACAAATTTTTGAGATTATTTATTTACTTATAATATTAACTATTAAGTAAATCTATTCATGTCCTTATTCGTAATTTGATACTTAAAAGCACTTTCTGAAAAGCTTGGCCTTACACAAATTATTGCTCAAAAGTACTTTTCAGAGTGATTAGCCAAACACAAACTGATTATTTCCAAAAGTACTTTTTTCAAAAGCACTTGTCAAAATAAGCTGATTTCTCCAGCTTGATAACATGCTTTGCAAGATAATGTCCATGCAAAGGGTAGGGATAGAACTTTGAGCCAAACTGGTGTATATAGGACTTCCCCCGAATGCTTGAGTGAAATCTTAAACGTGAAGCTGATGAACAAGAGAATGTGGTTAATACTTAACACAACTGATAGCTGCAATGGCTAGTGATAGGACAAAGGTTAAGATGCTAATGTTCTCAAAGTTTTAAAGGTGGCTTCAATATCTGATCAAGGAAGTCTCGGGAGTGTAAACGTCGTGGGGACTATGATGCATGCAGACTTTATCAAAAGAATTAAAAGCTTTGTTTCGTGCAGAAGATATATATCGATCTGCTCTTTCTCTAAGATTGGACATCAGTTCTTTTTACAACTTTAAAGTGAATGTTACTTATATGTGAGCTACTGTTATTTAGAAATGCTTTTAGAATTTTTTTTAGAGGTCAGATATGGAATAGGTTTATAGTTCTTTAGTAACTCATATGTCGTCTTTCAACATTATTAGTAAGGTAGAATATGGAATTGGTAGCTCGTTGCAGCAGATAAAACTTGCTTTATAGCTATTGTCATATGTTCCTTTCAGGATAAAGAATGAGAAGAAATCAACAGCAGGTGTACTGCAATTACTGCTTCAAGATTTTGAGGTCTCTGCAGTTCGTAACACAACTTGGTTCACTCCCTAATGTTTCCTTATTGGATTATGCATCTACATTGCATATGTAAATAGCTATTTCCACTGAATAAAAATGACCCTCTATTTAGATAAACAATGATCTCTTTGTTTCAGTGGCTTTTTATTATATGAAGTAAATAAAAATCTCTTTGGTTTTTATTGTACCCTTTTTGATTCTGGACCTGCTTTGCTGCTTACATAGTTTAAAAGGTAAACTAGTAGCAGTAGAAGTAAACATTGTCCTTATTTTACTTAAGAAATCTCTAATATAATTAACACTAGCATTATACTACATTAGTTCCTACCTGCAGCCACTACCGGAAACTTAGACTGCCCAATGCCACCACCATAACCTGGATATCCGCCACCATTTCCTCCACCAAAACCACCGCCATTACCATTTCCTCCACCAAAACCACCGCCATTACCATTTCTGCCACCAAAACCACCACCAAATCCACCGCCATTACCACTACCTCCACCATAAGGACTACCTTGGCCATTGCCTGATCCTCCACCCATCCCACAGTTACCATTTCCACCACCAGCGCCACCACCAGCGCCATAGCCTAAACCGCCACCTCCTCCTATCCCTCCACCAACACCTCCACATCCGCCTCCATTATTGCCTCCAAAACCATATCCTAACCCTCCCCCACCACCTCCGCCTCCACCAATGCCACCTCCAATACCTTTCCCATAACCACCTGTTGTAAGTACTACATTGGCAGCCTTATCCATTCTATTAGCCTGAGAAGTTAAAAACTTCCCTTCTCGGATTGCGTCAACAGGTACACATCCATAAAGCCCAAAACACAGCAAACTCAAGAAACTGAGACTCCACACAAACACTATGCGCTTTCCCATATCGCTTCTCTTATATTTTTGCACAATAATTTTGATTGTGAATAAGATCACTTGACAAGAAAATTTTAATATATGAAAAAGCTATATCAAAAAGCCTTTTGGGAATATAGTGCAATTGAACTATGCAGAGAACTCAGGGTTGGGATAAGAAAGAAAGTATAGATACTTTTGGCTTTTCTTGGTGGCTGCTCTCTTCACTAAGATATAAATATGCAGATAAGTATGAGAAATCTGTGCAAGCAGTTAAGTATGATGGAGATTATAGGTAGTCAAGCCAATTTGCATGATTTATGATCATTGATAATTACATGATGCAGTTCAAGACTGCAAATTTTACGTGGAAGAAAGTGGGGGAAACATAAATCTCTATCTGCTCCTTCCCCTGTATACAAGTTAAAAATCTTTCAAAAAGTAAATACTTATATTAACATCATATCAAATATTGCAAAGGAGCGGTGGCCGGTGAGTACAATAGCATTTCGAACTGATCGACTAAAAATTTTGGATCTGCCTCTGATGATCGAAGCTAGGCTTCAAACAAGTTGGCTATTACATCACCATTCGTATGAAAATGGCACGGCATCATCTTTCGTACTTTTACTCTCATACTTATCATGGAATGATGTCATAAGAGAAATTTAATGGCACAACATCACCATTCGTGCTTTCACTCTCGTTCTCACCATGTAATAGTGAATAACTGATATAGATTGGCAGGACATCACCATTCGTGCTTTAATTCTCTTCCTCACCATGTTTTAAATCAGTAAATGAAGTAATAAAATGGCACGACATCATGCTTCGTGCTTTAACACTCTCCCTTACCATGTCGTAATAACTATACAATTTCGGGAGATAAATAATGCAAGGGATGTACTTTATGTCAATTATGATTCCATAATACCAAACCTCAACTTCCAAAATACTCAACCATTACAAATTAATCCATAAATACGGAAGGAACAATCAAATAATAATAATATAATCTAAGCATGGATGCCATAACTAAAGAGGCAATAAATCACAAGGAAACAAGTTCTACCTGCATGCTTTAACGCAACAACAATGTATAAGTAATCGCCACCTCACATATACGTTGTACCCACACATTAAACACGTAGCAAATAGGCAAACAAGTTCAAATCCCTCAAGTCAAAGTTAACCACGACACTTACCTCACTCCGCAACCAATTCAAAGTTCAACTACGGCCTTGCCTTTCGAACAAGCCTCCGAGCCAACCAAATCTAGCAAATTATCAACCAAAAGATTCAAAATAAGCCTTAGAAACTACCCACGAATGAAAGAGGTTCAATTTAGATCATTATTGAAAAAGCCAACAAAAGTCAACCCCCATGCCCACTTGGTCAAAACCCAATGTTCGGACCAAAATTCGATCACTAATTTACCCCCGAACCCGGTTATGTAATTCAATTCAAAATCCGACCTCAATTTGAGGTCTAAATTCCAATTTAACAAAAACCCCTAATTCTACCCAAATCCCTATTTTTTTCCATGAAAATCCTAGATTTAAGGTTGAATTCTCATGGAATATAATTGGTAATTGAAAGAATGTAGATTAGAGTCACTTACCAATGAGATGAGGAAGAAAAGCTCTTGGAAAAATCGCCTCTAGGGTGTTTAGGGTTGAGAATTTGAGAGAATGAGCTAAAATCCTGTTTTTCTCAGCTTTTGTCCATGCGTAGATGTCGCAATTGCGACCTGGGGTTCGCAATTGCGAACCCCGCAAATGCGAGAATAGCTTCGCAAATGTGAAGAAACCCACATCTCTGCTATCATCGCATTTGCGAACATCGCAAATGCGAACTCTGGGACTCCGCAAATGTGACATTTTGATCGCAAATGCGATCTATTGCTGACCCAGCCCCTCTTCGCAAATGTGAAGGAATGGTTCGCAAATGCTAACAGGAAATTGAATGTTCGCAAATGCGAACACTAACCTCGCAATTGCGAGATCAGAGACTTGCACCAGAACTAGATGCACCAGCTATTTTCTCAAGTCCAAAAACACTCTGAAGCTTATCTAAAACGCACCCGAGCCCTCGGGTCTCCAAACCAAACATGCAAAAAGTCCAAAAACATCATACGAACTTGCTCGTATGATCAAAATACAAAAATAACACCTAGAACTACGAATCAGACACCAAACGAATGAAATTTTCAATGAAACTTAAGAACTTTTAATATTTCAATCGGACGTCCGAATTACGTCAAGTCAACTCCATTTTGCACCAAATTTTGCAGACAAGTCATAAATGCATTAATGAACCTATACCAAGTTTTGGAACCAAATTCTGGACCTGGTAGAAATAAAGTCAAACTTTGGTCAAACATATTAATTCTTTAAACCTTTAAGCTTCTAGTTTTCAATAAATTGCGATAATTCGAGCTAGGAATTTTCGAATTCGATTTCGGACATACGTTTAAATCCTGAATCACGATATGGACCTACCGGGACCGTCAAAATATTAATCTGGGTCCGTTTGCTCAAAACGTTGACCAAAGTCAACTCAAATGAGTTTTAAGGCACGATTTCACATTATTGGGTTAGGGATAATCAGGCTCGAACTGATGACTTCCACCACGTCAAAGTGACACTCTACCATTGAGTTATATCCCTTCCCCGCCCCATCGAGAAATAGAACTGACTAATCCTAAGTCAAAGGGTCGAGAAACTCAACGCCACTCACCGGTACTACCAAAAAGTCTCATGATTACGTTATTGTTATTGATGGTTTGATTATCTTGGACCACGAGGACCGCAGTCGTGCTTCTGGTTTCCATTCCAATCATCATATTGATGATAAATATCCTCGTGCTCTGCCATAAGAACTTAGAGTCTGTATCTTGGTGAAAATAAGGTAAGGCTGTGATTCTTGCTCAAAATACAGAGCGAACACCTCAAATTTTCACACAAAAACCTTCCGAAAAAGACACGGACTGTGCACACAAATCGAGGAAGGCTAAACAGAGCTATTCAGGGTTTCAAAACACAGAATTGAAGGTTAAAACTACAAATGACCTATTGGGTCATCACCTTCTCCACCTCTAAAATAAATGTTTGTCCTCGAACGGGCATAGAAAAGTACCTGGACTGATGAAAAGGTATGGATATCTACTCTGTATGTACGACTCGGACCCCCAAGTGGTTGCCTCGATCGGCTGACCTCTCCACTGTACTCGAACTGAAGGATAACTCTTAGACCTCAACTGCCGTACCTGCGAGGCTAGAATAGTCACCGACTCCTCCTCATAAGTCAAATCCTTGTCCAATTGGATTGAGCTGAAATCTAACACATGGGACGGATCACCGTGATACTTCCGGAGCATGGACACATGGAACACCAGATGGACTGCTGATAAAATGGGTGGCAATGCGAGCTTGTAGGCCACCTCACCCACTCTATGAAGAATCTCAAAGGGTCCGATATACCTAGGGCTCTACTTGCACCTCTTTTGGAACCTCATCCCACCCTTCATGAGTGAAATCCATAGCAACAACCTCTCTCCGACCATGAATGCAGCATCACGAACTCTACGGTTGGCATAACTCTTCTGCCTAGACTGAGCGGTGCGAAGTCGATCATGAATAATCTTGACCTTATCCAAGGCATACTGTACCAAATATGTACCCAACAACCAGTCTCCCCCAGCTCGAACTATCCAACCAGCGAACGACACCACCTCCCGCATAATGCCTCATAAGGAGCCATCTGAATGCTCGACTTGTAGTTGTTGTTGTAGGCAAACTCCGCAAGTGACAAGAATTGATCCCAAGAACCCCCGAAGTCCATAACACAAGCGCGAAGCATATCCTCCAATATCTAAATAGTACGCTTGGATTGTCCATCCGTCTGGGGATGAAATGTTGTGCTCAACTCAACCTACATGCGCAACTCACGCTGTACGACCCTCCAGAAGTACGAGGTGAAGTGCGTACCTCGATCAGAAATGATAGACACTGGCATATCCTGAAGATGGGCAATCTCGCGGATGTAGATCTTAGCTAACCGCTCTGAAGAATAGGTAACTGCCACATGAATGAAATGTGCCGACTTGGTCAACCTGTCCACAATGACCCATACAACGTCGAACTTATTTTGAGTCCGTGGGAGTCCAACAACAAAATCCATAGTGATATGCTCCCACTTCTACTCAGGAATCTCTAACTTCTAAAGCAAACCACCAGGTCTCTGATGCTCGTACTTTACGTGCTGACAATTCGGACACCGAGCTACATGTGCAACTATATCCTTCTTCATCCTCTTCCACCAATAATGTTGCCGCAAGTCCTGATACATCTTGGAGGCACCCGGATGAATAGAATACCAGGAACTATAGACCTCCTCAAGTATCAACTTACGAAGCCCATCCACATTAGGCGCACAAATATGGCCCTGCATCCTCAAAACTCCATCATCTCCAACTGTAACCTGTTTGGCATCACCGTGTCGCACCGTATCCTTAAGGACAAGCAAATGTGGATCTTCATACTGACGCTATCTGATGCATTCATACAAGGAACATCGCACGACTGTGAAAGCTAAAACACGACTGGGCTCTGAAACATCTAACCTCACAAGCTGATTGGCCAAAGCCTGAACATCTGTAGTAAGCGGCCTCTCACCAACTGGAATGTATGCGAGGCTGCCTATACTCACAGCGTTTCTATTCAAGGCGTCGGCCACCACATTGGCCTTTGTAGGATGATACAAAATAGTGATATCATAATCTTTCAACAGCTCCAACCATCTCCTCTACCTCAAGTTGAGATCCTTTTGTTTGAACAAATATTGTAGACTCCAATGATCCGTGAATACTTCACATGACATGCCGTAAAGATAGTGCCTCCAAATCTTCAGCGCATGAACAATGGCTGCCAACTCTAAGTCATGAACATGATAATTCTTCTCATGAACCTTCAACTGTCGTGACGCGTATGTAAGATCTTCAACACCAGCACTTGCCATCCTGCATCAAT